TTTTTTTTTTTTTGTTTGCAGTTTTTAATGATGAGTTATAACAAAAACAGTAATATTTTTTGTAAACGAGCATTGAGTGACTCAACAAAAAGAAGAGTTTTTCTAATAAATTTCTTGCTCTTAAAGCTTCTTACATTTCTTACATTGCTTTAATATTTTTTTGAGACTGACATTTAGTGTTTTCAGTTACATTTACTAAAAGCTTTAATTACTAAATTTTATTGTGCAGTAAGAAGAAATTGTTTTGTTACTACTGCTGGTTACTTTTTTCACTTTTGGAATTAACCATAATTTTATACAAGTAGCAAACGATGAATGGAGAGGAATAGTTTTGTGATGGAGCAGTAATGCTATGACTGCTAAAAGGTTTGAGCAAATAAAAAGTGCGGGAAGAAATCAGTTTTTTTTTCAGAAACGTTAGAGAATACTTGGAAATTCACTATTCATTACTTCATTACAGTTAGCCAATGTCAATCAACTGATATCATGGAGCTTATTCTGAAATTGTACATTATGTATGTGACAATGAAAAACTGTTCTAGATTTTGTTATTTATTCAAGATTGTCCTATAAAATTGGTACGTTCGTAACATTTGTTACTGGTTATTTTTTGAATTTAGGACCGAAGGTTTAAGCATTGAATATTTGGGATTTACCAATTTCAGCTGGCAAGGAACGTCTGTGCATCAGCATTTTTATACAGCTTTCAGGTTGTGAGACTACGTAAAAACCTTTGCTGATAAATTCAGATACCTGCTTCAAAATGTGTTGTACAATTTTTTCAGTTTAAAGTACTTCTAACATTAGAATGTGATATTGTTCTAGTGAATTGCATTACTGAAAGTGCCCTTTGTAGAGTTCAAGCAGTGGATTGTAAAGCCGAATAAGTAAAAGACAAGGGGATTGTTAAGTATTGTACTGTTGTTTAAGAGATGCTGAAGAAAGCAATTGAATTATTCATCTTCAAAGTTTGTTTTAATGACTGAATGAGTAAAGCAAGATTACTCACTGCTTTCTACCTGAATCTGGTAGCTTTTGAGTAAATATTTCGGGAGAGACGGCTTCAGAGTTTTAGAAAAGTAAAATTCCGACAGAGATTGCCAAAAATGCGTTGCCAGTAGACTGTGACACTGATGACATTTTTTAAATAAAAGTAACAAATGTTGAATGAAGGGTACTGCACAATCTTTTAATCTATGGTTTGAATTAATGCCACACCACCTGCAGATGTACTGCTTTAGTTTTTTTGACATTTGGAAGCTGTGTGTAATATTTTTTAGTTACTTAGCACCTGTAACTTTTTGAGAAATAATCAATCAAAAACTGTAAATTTATCTTTTCTTAAAGTATAAATAATGGGATTTAGTGTTACAATGGTAAAGGGTATGTTTACGTAGACTTTAAGTGTTATTTACAATTTCTAAAGGAAAAAAAAAAAGTATTAATCTGTCAATAACAAGTCAAACGAAAACATCGTAAGTTAATAAACAGTTGTCTGTTTTTTTTTCTTCTTTTCTTTTTATTTTTCTTGTTGGGGGATAACAACTACAACAAAAAATTTTTTTGTTGACAGTCATTAGTACAAGCAGTTTTTATTAATTCTTCTTTTTTTTTTATCTTACGTTTTGGATGTTAAAAAAAAGCGAAATATGAAACGATAACATCTTCTTTTTTGTTAAATCTTTCAAAGTTCGAAAAAAAAAAAAACTGGAAACGAAAACTGGCAGAGAATTTTGTGATGCTTGTCTTTCAGCAGTACTAAAGGAATCTTTTTCCTGTTTTTTTTTTTTTTAATAAAGTATATTCCCTGTTTTAAATTTAGTTTTGCTTGGCTTATTCTGCTGTTTGTTTTCGTGTTGAAAAGATCATTTATTTTTTTTAAACCTAATTTCAGTAAGACTCTTTTACAATACATTGAGTAAAACTCAAAAAATATGCAAATAACTGTTTGAAAGCAGTTAAACAGCAAATGATAACTAACTGTCTGATGAATTGCAAATGTACACTGAAATAACCAAAAAAGTATATCTATATACAGTTTAAAACTATTCTGTAAAACAGAATTTACATAATCAGTGAATTTTATCTGTAATGCAATTTTACTAAACAAATCGCATTTGTCTG